ACACTTGGCTTATTTTGAGGCATTCATTCAGCAAGGAGCATTGCTAATTTGCAAGCAAAGGAACTTTGATTGGAGAGTTCACTTGCAATCAGCGGAGTAGGAACCAAGATTTGTTTGCAATGATTCTACTAATTCACCTTATAAATCTATACTTCTGCAATAGAATTTATAGAAACGGATTTTGAGGCAATGTACAAGTAGTACTAGACTCATAAGTGGTCGCTTACAGGAGATAGTATAGTTCGGGGCATGGGTGAAATGCTCTCGGTTCGGACTGGATTGCCCAATCCATTAGCAACGGTGGCGGGTGGTTCAGAGAACCGGTAGCAAAAATCCCTGCCCTCCCCCACCCATGCCCAGCTGAGCCGTGCAATCATCAGAGGCTTTTTTTTTTTACTTTTAAAAGCATTTTTTTCTACAACCTCTTTGACTGAAAAAATGCTTTTAAAAGTTTTTTAAAAAGCCTCTGACAATCACACGGCTCAGCTGGGATCATCAGAGGCTTCGAAAAACATTTTTTCTGCAACCTCTTCAGCCAAAAAGGTTGTAGGAAAAAAAAATCCTTTAAAAGCCTCTGGCGATCCCAGCTGAGTTGCCTGGTAGTCAGAGGTTTCTAAAAGCATTTTTTTCTGCAACCTCTTAAGGTTGTAGAAAAAAATGCTTTTAAAAGTAAAAAAAAAAAAAAAGTTGGCCACGCCCACCCAGTCACATTACCCCCCCCCACAAAGCCACGCCCACAGAACTGGTAGTAACAAATTTTACATTTCTCCACTGGTTCAGGGGTATCAAATTTCATTGAGGGCCACATCAGGCTTGTGTTTGACCCGGGGGGGGGGGTGTAGTGGGCATGGCCAAGGTGGCTGTGGCCAGTTCAACATCACTTGTGTTGGGGGCACCTGTGGTGGCCCGAGCGCTCTGCCAGCGAAAACAGGCTCCCGAGCTGATTTTTCAGCTGCAACAGCCTCCTGCCACTCTCTGACACTGAAAACAGAGCTCAGGAGCCCTCCCGAGCTTCATTTTCACTGGCAGACTCACCACAGGCCACTCCTTCACTGTTTCCAGGGCAGCCCCATGGGCTGCCAGATCTAAGCACCCTGCGGGCCATCTCCGGCTCCCGGTCCTTGAGTTTGACACCCAAGGATAGTTGAATAGATATTTTTTAATTGGGTACAGGATTTTTCTTGTTGGTCTATTATTGGATTGTCTTATTGTTGTGTTATTATTATTGCCATTAGCCATCCAGAATTGTGTTTCACAAGATGGGCGGCCATGTAAACATTTAAAATTAAATTAAAATTAATTAAAATTAATTAAGATTAATATTGTAATTTATTCATTCATTTATTAGAAGTCTTCTATCCCATTCTATATTTCTGCACAGCTATGCGGACTTTCCCTTTCTCAGACTAAAGCAGGCTTTGAATGTGGAACTTTTGGTTGTAGGTTCTTCAGCCCAAAGTCATAGAAAAGTCCTACTCTCTCCAAAGCCTCTTTCATTGCTTAAACTACACACATTCCAAAAAGAAAAGTAGAGGAGAATTCTACAGGCTGTCTCTATCTGCATAATACTCATCCTTAACACCACAATCTCTGACTAACTGAAGAAAAACTGCACTCTTCTCTAGGTGCACCATGGAAGAGTGAACATTCGGTGGCTTGATGGCCCAGTTTTGGTGGCTGAGATATGCAGGAGGTAAGAGACTGATGCAATATAGTCATGGCCATAGATGCATATGGGACTATATATATATATATATTTAAAAACCTACTGTCATTCAGCCAAACATAGTCACTTGCTTCATCCATTCTTCTAACCCAAGGGTCATTATCTATGGGTTATTGAATAAAACAAAATTGGGGCTGTATAATGCCCAAACCAACCATGTATCCATTTAATGTACTGCATGAGACTTTCCATTCAGATTTCACCTTGAGACCTTCTACATCAGCCCCCAACCTTTGCAGCTTGGTGGCCGGGCAGAGGTGGGTGGAGAGGGGAACCAGGCCACAGGAGTGGCAGGCCAGCACACACATGTGTGTGCCCGCAGCTCGACTTGTGCAAGTTGAACTACATATATGTGTGCACATGCGCCAACCTGCCACTCGCACAAATCAAGGTGCGCACACACATGCGCTACTCATGCGACCCGGTTGCAGATAGGCCACGGCCAGGGTGTTGGGGACGCCTGTTCTATATCATGGAGTTTGGGAATGGATCCAAGAGGAAGAAAGATGCGCAGCAACTACATGTTTCCCCCCTCTGTGTCTTATTTTACTTCTAGAAGAATTTTCTGTTCTCTACAGATCTGACCTTTCGTATTCTTAAAAAGGAAATGCCAAGTCGGCTGCAGCGCAGGGATTAGAGACCCCTGGCCTAATGAACAGTCAGATAGGAGATAGCATAGTCTGCAGCTGAATAATGGATGGGATAAGAAACCCAGAAAAGACCCTCCCTAATTTCCTGGTGTGTTTAGGAGACAGAGGGAGAATTGTACTTTTAGCCTCGAAAAACTCTGTTAATATAACCTTACAATAAGTAGAATTAGCTAATCTGACTCTGTTTTCTATCTAGTCCACCTGGTGACACTGACAATGATGGACCCTTGTGTGATTCAGCTAGTTGCAGTCTTAACCAAACTGCTCTGAAAAGAGGTCTCCTTTGCCTGTAATGCAAAGCATGCAAATTCAGGGTTATAAAAAATATATATATATAGAAGATGCAAATTCTGTTTCAAGCATGCTCTGTTTACATCTTTCCCTGACAAATTGAATTATTAATCCCCCTCTTCTCCAGTGCAAACTCATTTTAATGAGTGTAGTTATGGAATGAAATGTGCCTAACAATAATCCTGTAAGGATACAGCCAGTGGAAACCCCAAAGAGCAAATGTTCTATCAGCTGGAATTGCATTTTGCTCTGTTTGTGAGGAAAGATTGGGCTGGGTTTACCTAACAGTAACACACTAAGGGTACTTAATGTTAACCTTGATTTGTGTTTATTTAATTCTTTAGTTTTTCACGGCTGAACCTACTGCACATTTCATTAGCTTGTTAGACAACATATTGTCTACACATGGATTAACTAGATAACAAGACTTTTAAATGAAAAGAGCCAACATACAGAGAAAAAAGACATGGCACTTTTTAACTTTTAACAATGTCACTGAGTAGAACAGCAGGTGGCGCTAAAATATCTGTAGCTATTTCTTAGGATGCTCAAAAGAGTTACACTTCTTCAAGACCAATAGGGAACATAACAAAGATGTGTGACTAAAAGTGAAAATGCACTCCTTTCCCCACCAAATTTCTTGGAGCATTCCACCAAAATTTGGGGGAATTCAGGGAGATGAAGTGAATACGTCTTAAAGTTGCCAAAGTTGAGAAATACTTTTTCTAGGATGTCAAGACTGTTCGCTCCTGTTTTAAAATCCAGTTCCGGGTGTTCTCATTATGTTTCTGGAGGAGACCATGCTGATGAAACCTGCTGAGTGGGTCAAATTGTGCAAGCAAAGCAGGTTTAAACCAGTAGGTTTTAGAAACAGATGTGCCACAGGAAACCACTTGCTTTCTTAAATAAACGTAACACTGTGCCATCATGTGCTAACCTGATGGAATAGAAGGAATACTGCTTCCTTCCTTTAAAGAAATATTTTATTGGTAGTCCTTACTTAATGACCAGTTACTTAGTGACTGTTCAAAAGTCACAGATCTCTCCGGAGCTATTTATGACATAGTCTTAAAAGTTCCAATGGCTGCCCTTGGTAGTCATGTAATTGTATTTTGGGAGCCTGACAAAAGATCCCCATTTACAACAATTTGTAGTGACTCGCAATCAGGTGAATGCAATTCATGTTTTTTTGCTGGAAACCTGCATTTACTTCCAGTTTTTGGCAAAAAAACAACAATATCCATTAGATTAAACGGGTACACTGAATGATTGCCATATCCACTTAACAGAAGTGGCATTGGTTTAACAACTGCAGGATTTGCTTAACAATGATTGCAAAAAGATTGTAAAATTCGCTAGTGCCCTGCTTAATGACTACCATGATTTACAACCATAATTTCGGATTCAATTATAGTCATAAATTGAGAATTACCGGTAAAAAGAAAAAGATAGCTTTCAATTCAGAACGAAATTTGAAATATATTTTAAATTGAAATATAATGGTTTCTAGTATTCTAATATTGAAGTCTTAATATTATAGTAACTTTAGTTATAACAATTAAGAGCATTTTCTATTTGCCAATGCCTATCATTAAAAAAAATTCTTATATTGTTCCAGATAAGCTTTTAAAATGTTTTCTGGAGCTAATGGAATTAGTAGTTCCTTGTTATTATCCAATTTGGAGGTATAATGAGTAAAATTGGTAAGCAATGGAATTTTTCAGTGCCTATAGTAACTTAAGTTCAAGTATAATCTATATATGTTGTAATGTATACAATACTATGTTATGTGATCTATTAATTTCAGTAGATAACATTTAAATATTTAGTTCATTGGTTCACTACAATTCAAACATTTAAAACTCTAACTAGCTGAATCACATTCTTGTTAGTCAAGGGATAGCAAATCAATATATAAAATGAAAACATTATTCAGTATTTTTAAACAATCTTTGTAGATAGTTATATCTTCCAAGGCCAGGGTATTTTATCAAACACAATTAAGTAATGATATCTGAACATCCCAGTGAAATTGTCAAACACTGGGGAAATCAGGAGATTCAGGCAATTCAAATGAGTATAATGATATATTTGCAACCTTAAGTTCTCTACAAGAATCTGAGCTACTACAATAATGATCAAGGGGAATTTGTGGAAGTTAAGAATAGAAAGAAATTCAAGGTGGGCTGGATTTAGATCTCTTGTGGGCATATAGGGACTCATGATAGATGATGCATTTGACTCCTCTCTCGGGCTCATCCTGGTCATCTCTTGCAGAACTAGTTTCAGCCACTTGTTAAAAAGGTTGTTTTCAATTCAAAAGGAGATACAAATATAGTTGTCCAACATATTAAGGCTTTTACTTAAACATCCAGAATGACCTTGGAACCTTCATCCTCCAGCAGAATGCAGATAAAGTTCAGTGTCACAATCAACACTTTGTACTCATGAAGTTAAAATATATGTTGAGGAGTCTTGCACTGAATTCTGGACCAGTTGCAGCTTCTAGATAGTCTTAAAGGGTAGCCCCACATGGTGCACATTGCAGTAATCCAAAAAAGCATCTGGTTAGCATAATGATTGCAAACTGAATATGATTCACCTGCAAAACAAAACAAAAAAGGAGTTTCCTTTTTGCCTGCATCAGCAGAAATATAGTTTCCGTAACATAAAAATTCTTATAGGAGAGATCTATGGAGACTGTAGGATTTTGGATTTATCAGGATCAGAGACCTTAAAGATTTTGAATTATCAGAATCTAAGGTTTGCTGACACTTCTGCCCTGGTTTGGACAAAACAAAGCAAAACACAGATCAGGGTGGTATTCATAGTACAGTATCAAAATACACACTTCAAAGCCTTTGCTTTCTTTGCTCCAGTTAAGAGTGCATAGAAATTAAGCATCCTTCACATGGAAAGGACCTAACAGAATGACACTAGTAGTAGTATGCTATGTCTTGAAATAACTATTCCAATCATACTGTCATTCAGCTACATTTATCCAGTTAATCCTCAAAGACATTTCCCCTTGAGGACGACTGAAAAGGGTCATATAATTCTATTCTTGCAGTTAATACATCTTAAGATGACCATGGAGTCTTCTGACAAAATATAGCTAGAAATCTAGCCTTTTGTCCTTGCTTAATCAACACAGCTGAATATTCTGCCAACTCAGTTTCTCAGTGTGTATCTATTGGCTTGTGATCCTGGCTTAATTTATCTTATGATTTGCTTTGCTCTCAGTCATCCTGAGCCCCGACAAACAGAAATTAATTTTGTACACAGTACCTGCAGTCTTAAATTAATCATCAGTTAATATCATTCACCTTCAACTACACAGCAGATGCATGTTTAATTAATTATGTCCATGCTTTTCATCACCTTTAGTAATCAATATGAGGTGAAATTCTCCATAAAAGTACAATATCAGAGTGGGTTGAACTATAATGGTGATGGAGCCTCAAGTTCCACTCTCATGACTAGTTATGTTCTCATGATTTTCTTATTTGCTTAGATCAGGGGTGTCAAACTCGATTTCATTGAGGGCCACATCAGGGTTGTGTTTGACCTTGGGGGGCCGAATGGGTATGGCTGTGGTGGGCATGGCCAGGGTGGGCATGGCCAGCTCAACATCCTACAGCCCTCTGCCAGTGAAAATGGAGCCTGGGAGAGCTACGTGTGGGCCTCCTGTGCTTCGTTTTCGCTGGCAGAGGGCTGCAGGAGGCCGATGCGGCTGAAAACAGAGCTTAGTGGGTGGGCCGCACATGGGCCTCACAAACTCCATTTTCACTGGCAGAGGCACTGCGGCAGAGGTGGGTTTCAACAGGTTCTGACCAGTTCTGGAGAACCAGTAGCGGAAATTTTGAATAATTCGGAGAACCGGTAGTAAAAATTCTGACTGGCCCCGCCCCCATCTATTCTCTGCCTCCCAAGTCCCAGCTGATTGGGAAGAAATGGGGATTTTGCAGTAACCTTCCGCTGGATTGGGGTGGGAATGGAGATTTTACAGTATCCTTCCCCTGCCATACCCATCAAGCCATGCCCACCAAGCCATGCCACGCTCACCAAGCCACGCCCACAGAACTGGTAGTAAAAAAATTTGAAACCCACCGCTGCACTTTGGGCTGGTCCTTCACTGTTTCCAGGGTGGCCCTGTGGGCCAGATCTAAGCATCCTGCGGGCTGGATCCGGCCCACCAGCCTTAAGTTTGACACTCCTGGTTTAGACAAACAGCTTAGCTAGTCATTTTATTTTTACATTATTTCATTTAACAAACAAATTCTCTGCAAGATTTCTCCCCAGAAAAAAGATCTACTTGGCACCATTTATGATCATTGCATGGTTGTGGCAGCTAGAGAGACCACAAACTATCACTTTCAGTGATCTCTCAGTGATAAGGCAACATGGACCAAAAATAATTAATTGCTGATAATGTTAGACTAAAGATCTGGTGGGACACGGTGGCTCAGTGGCTAAGCATGTTGATCAGAAGGTTGGCAGTTCAGCAGTTCAAATCCCTAGTGCCGCATAATGGAGTGAGCTCCTGTTATTTTTCCCAGCTTCTGCCAATCTAGCAATTCGAAAGCACTTGTCAGGTGTGCTTCCTTCAAAGTCCAGGAAAGAATGACCCAAACTCCATGTTTTATAGAGAAAGGTACTTTTACTAGAAATGAAGTGAACGCAACCACGGCTAAGCTGAAATTAAAGCAATAGGCGTGAAAAGTGCATATAGAAAGCATCCCCTCTCACTGTCCATCGTAAATCATCCAATCCAAAGGTCTCCCAGGGTCAGGTGGAAACACGTCTGGCAGCGTCATCAATCAGGAATGCCACGACGGTTGACCCGAGAGCCACTTCAAGGATTCAGTTTCATTTCTTCCAAAGCCTCGCCCCTTCTCCAAGCTCCCCCCCCAAGCTCCCCCCCCTCCCGGTTCCTATGGCAGCCAAAGCAGCCAAAGCGGAGGCTGACAGCACTTAAAAAATGCAAGTAGAAAAATAGGGACCACTTTGGTGGGAAGATAATAGCGCTCTGTGCGCCTTTGGCATTTAGTCATGTTGGCCACATGACCACAGATATGCCTTCGGACAGCGTTGGCTCTTCAGTTTAGAAACGGAGATGAGCACCGCCCTTAAAGCCGGAAACAACTAGCACACATGTGCGGTGGAACTTTTACCTCTGAAAGGCCCTATTTCACTTTTTTTAGCAAGGCTGGCTGATTTTATGATCCTTAACTGAGGACAGCAGAAGTTCAAGTTTAACAGTACATGGTTTCACTGCAAGAGACCAACATCTCCAGGTGTTTCTCATCAAAGATCATGGACCCAGAAACCCCAGCACTGCTTGCTGCCTTTGAAAGTCTTAAGGACTTTAGAGACTTCTAAAAATTATTACCAAATTGTAATTTTTAATGTGACAGAAAAGGAAAAATACACATTACATGGATGGAGAATTGAATCATAAATCATAAATTTGGCGGAGACAGTTAGACATTCAAGCTCAACCTGCTATTATGTGCAGGAACCCAAGTTAAATTAAATCTAAGTTAAGGAGTTATCCCAGACAGCTGCCTAGTTTCCATCTGAACTTATGCAATTTAGCGAGCCCACATACCTAATAATGGTTTCAACAATGAGGTGTTCTTATTGCAAGGAAGCTTTTTTCTAATATTCTGTCAGAATCTATCCTCTTAAATAACACAGAAGATATTTTCTCTTTCTTCTGTATTTATATTTCTTCAGATATGTGAAAAATGTTGCCAGGTACCTCAGCATTCTCTTCTGTAAGGCAAAATATTGTTCACTTCCCTAATTTATCTTCAGAGGACAATTTGTGATGCTGCCATCAGCCTGCTGGCATTTTCTGAACATGTTCCAATTCGAATCCATTTTCCAATTCGAATGCACTGCCCCAAACTGGACACAATACTTGAGGTAGAGTCTGAAAAATGTGGAATAAAGAGCATGGTTGTCATCCATAAGGAAGAATGTTAGAATATGAACCCAACTCTTCCTATATTTACTTTGCTGATAACAAAGGACAAAGTTTGCATCCCAACATTCCACCCCCTCCACTTCTCAATGGAAGGATTATCCTCAGAAAGAACAAATTGTGGTGAGTATGTAAACCATTAAAGGGTATTCCAAAAAAGCAATTTACTGAGATTTTTTTGTTATTTTTTACAAAGGTGAAAGAGAAAAAGCTTTAAACATAAGTTGATGTTGCATCCTGGAAAGGATAAACAATTCTGGAATTAAAGAAGCACTCCATGTTACTCAATGATGGGTTTCAAAAAATTTTATTCTGTAATTATTTACCCAGTTCTGTGGGTGTGGCTTGATGGGCGTGGCATGGCCTGGTGGGTGTGGCTTGGTGGGCGTGGCAGGGGATTGGTGGGTGTGGCTTGGTGGGCATTCTCTCCCAATCCAGGGGAAGGGTACTGCAAAAACCCCATTTCCTCCCGATCAGCTGGGACTTGGGAGGCGGAGAATAGATGGGGCAGGGCCGGTCAGAGGTGGTATTTACCAGTTCTCTGAACAACTCAAAATTTCCACTACCGGTTCTCCAGAACTGGTGAGAACCTGCTGAAACCCATCTCTGATGTCACTTTAACTAACTTGGATGGTAGCCTAATGGTGACAGAAGTCCATCTAGGAGGCAAGGAAAATGCAGACAAGAGGGATGAATCATATTTCAGAAAACAACAAATTGCCTGCCTCTCTTCTTATAGCTGTTTCTTTTTAAACTTATCATCTTTCAGATGTACTGTCCTCCCACCCACCACCCATAACCCTGCTAATAAGAATGATGTGGGTAGCAGTTCAAGGCACATGGTGAGTACCACGCTGGGAAGCTATAACTATTCTCATCCACTCTTCACCCTCCACCAAAAACACTTGAATGCTTTCATTGAAAGCTTCTGTATTTTTTAATTAATAACCCAAGAGAGCTAAGGAAAATGGATTTAGAACTACATTCCCACTGATTTCAATGGATTTTGTGTTACTATTGGCATTTACAGAGGTTCCTCTGAAATTGACACAACATTTTTCAATGACTAGTAATTCTCAGGCATTTCAGATAATAATAATAATCTTAATAATAATAATCTTGGGAAAATGAATTAGAGTCAGTGGCATATTAAATTTCTAAAAAGTTGTTTGGGTAATATGAATTAGGAACAACTCACTTACATTTGCCTTCATTCATGAGAAACAACACTTCTTGAACTTTGTGAGATATTCTTGCAATGAACAGGAAAAATTATCCAGTAAATCCTAATTCAACTCATTTGCATAATGGATTTTGTCAGAAGGGCTCATGGAAATACAATCAGATTCCTAATCTTTTAAATTGTGTTGTCTGTTGAACTATGGGGATGGAATTTAAAACTGGCTTAGGTATCTCAAGTTTATTTATTTTATTTATTTATTTGTCATATTTCTATGCCGCCTACTCTCTGAGGACTCTGGGCGGCTTACACCAAAGACAGTATACTAAATAGCATATTGCCCCCAACAATCTGGGTCCTCATTTTACCCACCTCGGAAGGATGGAAGGCTGAGTCAACCTTGAGCCGGTGAGATTTGATCCGCTGATCTGCTGAACTAGTAGTCAGCTGAAGTAGCTGCAGTACTGCACTCTAACCACTGTGCCACCTCGGCTCTTATCTAAGTTACACATAGATGTCCAGCATATCTCTCACCACCAGTCTGTAGCAAACATTCTCTGAAATCATGGAATGAGAAGCAAGATATGGTGCTCGTTTGCTTGGTTAAAACTCGATCAGCAAGATCCAGTCTTTAACATAGGAAATATGGTGTATGCCCATAACTACACCAGGGGTGCTCTCTGGGTTATTACCTGCCATACAGAGTAGAGTTAGAGGATGGTTGATTATGGCGGAGGCATATTGACCAACTCTGAGGCTGATTAGGCAAACCACTTCATCAACAAAAATCGGACCTGACACCAAGTTAAAACAACATCCCGAAAATAACAAAAGTCCCGAATTCCCAACAGCAGACTCAAACCCAAACAACCAATGACTAAACGTACCTGGAGAACTGGGAATCCAGCAAAGAACCATCCGCGAATCGGTTCCAGGAGAGATGACCATGCCCAGGGCTGAATTCCAGAAGGCTCCATTGGCTGAGCAAAGAGCAGCATCAGATCCAACTGATCTGGTCACCACCACTGCTCCAATTGAACTGCACAGGTCGCAGCAAGTCCATTGATGCCCCACCTACCTGCATGACTACATCACCTAACCAACTCCCAATTGGTCAATAATCTATGTAGGTGGGGCAGGGTGTTGAATACTCAATTAAGGGAGTGAAGCCGAAGAATAGGCTTCACTCAAGTCCGTCATCTAGGCAGGAAAAATAGTTCAAGCCTAGATGGCTAAGCCGTTTGACAGCCCCTATAAAAGGGCAAGCTGTCAGACAGAGAGTTGCTGGGTTTTACTTGTATAATAAAGAGTTGAAGTCGAAAAACTGCCTCTGTCTTTTCAATCTCCTACAATCTAACAATAACAATAAGCTATTATTGTTATTTTCGATCTTTTGTGGGAATCAGTCCATAATGGCATTTTCAACAAAGTTTTCTTTCAGTCAAGTTTGACTTCTGAGGACATGTCTAGGTCATTTTCTTGGCAACAATACAGAAAGAGTTGGCTTTGCTGTCGTGATCATGATTTAAATATCTAGTGAGTCTGAATATAAATACAAGTTGTACAGGAAAAGATATTAAAGCAGTTCTCATTTAAGACAGAAGAACTTTCAGAAAAGTTATAGGAAAGTTACTCTTAGCATTGTCATGTCTATTAACGCCTTCAGAATAAATCTCGCTGAAGTCAAGACAACAGTTCTGCAGGTCCAATATGTTCTGCAGAAAGGAAAACATGTTAAGTCAATGTTTTTATAACTTCACAATTATAAGATACGTGCACTTCAGCCAGCTGGGGGATTCAGGGAGTTGAAATCCACATATCTTAAAGTTGCCAGGTTTGAAAAACTCTGTGTTATGTTACTCATCATAAAACCAAAGAGTTTTGATTTGGGGAGAAAATCAATAAACAGGCTGTAATTAATTCCAAGGTCTAGGAGAACAAGTAGAGTTTTAGTCATTTCCTAAATATTATAACAGTGAGAACTGCACAGATCTTGGGAGGGATATTGTTCTGGGGGTAGATACTGCATCAGAATTAAGGTCCTGTAAAATGACACTGTTTATTTGTCAGGACCTGAAGTGCACCTGCTTTGTCTGAACATATCAGATGGACAGAGTTTGTGGGAGACAATTAGATTCACATATCAGGCGATGGAAAAATGAATCAACGGTTGGTCATAAATGGAAATTAGCTGTTCCCTCCCACCCCCAGCCTTGGAAGCTTCATGTGCTTTCAGTATTGTGGGTGAGAGCTTACAATGGAGCATTTCATTGCCCTTCTAAGGGTGAACTTCATAAAACTCTGGTTCTTTTGAGCCACTACTAAAAGCTCTTCATTGGGGGAAATCTCTGTGCTCAGCATTTGAAGACATCACAGCCCAGTCTTTCAATTTGAGTTCTTTGAGACTCAAAAATTTAATCACAGTGGGCAATGATTAAAAAAAAATCTAATTTCAGCAACTTTCTCAGAAATGGGAGAGTTGCTACATGTTCATAGGTGGCCACAAAGTGCAGGTGTTTAAGTGCAGCAATTCTTTACATAATGTTTGTAAACATTTTTATAATGTTTTATAATGTAAACAACATTTTTATAATGTTGTTTTAAGTTGTTATTTTATAGGCATCCAGCTATAGTTGGTGTGATAGGATGCCATAATAGTCACTGCTCTATAAAGAAAAGTTATGGTAGGGAAAGATATTGACATAATTCACAATGTGCTTTATTGGGTATAACGGTAGGACTCTATCAAACTCACAATAAATTGTATTCTGTCAGTACTGTCTTAAATTATAACTTGTTCAGTGATGCAAGAATTCATGAAAGGAAGATAAAATAAAATAAATCTAAAGTCAGAATGATTCACATTTACCTGTAAACATAAAGAAATAACGCGTCACTATGAAGCTCATTTGCTCCATTCAGACAGGAAATAAATACCAGCTTATCACAATAACATGTGAGAGGATTTGACTCGCTGTTAGGAAACTCATTAACCTTGAGGAAATAAAGCCATGGAGTGAGGGAGGGGGGAATTGGGTGGGTACCCTCTTTGTTCTTGGCAATTCAAGGGGAGCCATTGTCTGTTTAAAGAGGAAAGCTGCTTTGGTGTTTAAAGGGAACATTGATGTAAAAAAAAAAAAGTTTATTCAGGGTGTTCCGTCTCAATCATCAGAACGTGTTGAATTCCAAACTGTTTTCCAGAGAATCCACTTTTTAGATAGGTTGCTTTAGATGTGACTGTGTGAAACAGATATACATTAAATCAAATTGAACTGTTCCCCCTGTCCTTTTTGCAACACACAACATGCATAGAAAGCCTGCCGTGGCCTGTTTCTCAACTTATGAACTTTTCAGATGGAGGACTCCAATTCCCAGAATTCCCCAGCCAGCTTGAAGTCCACCCATCTTCAAGAGGTTGAGAAACACTGCCTTAAGCTTATGAAATTATACCTATGTATGCTAACTATCATTTATAGAATGATAAAAAACAATTGCCAAGTTACATGTAAATCAAACAAGCCGGATTATGGTTTGGCATGATATGCAAATCAGCGGTGGGTTTCAAATTTTTTTACTACCGGTTCTGTGGGTGTGGCTTGGTAGGCATGGCATGGCTTGGTGGGCGTGGCTTGGTGGGCGTGGCAGGGGAAGGATACTGTAAAATCTCCATTCCCACCCCACTCCAGGGGAAGGTTACTGCAAAATCCCCATTTCTTCCCGATCAGCTGGGACTTGGGAGGCAGAATAGATGGGGGCAGAGCCAGCCAGAATTTTTACTACCAGTTCTCCGAACTACTCAAAATTTCCACTACCGGTTCTCCAGAACTGATCAGAACCTGATGAAACCCACCTCTGATGCAAATGTAATGGCCTGTTCAACAATAGTTTCCCCTCACTGAAGGATTCTGCTTCTCCCTTTGACTATCTAATTTTTGAGGAACTAATACTTTAATTGAGCAGCCTTATTTATTTATAATTTACCGTCATAAAGCTGCCCAACCCAGCAGGGACTCTGGATGGCATATAAATTAAAATTTTACAATTCCTAAAAATGAACAAAAGTAAACACAATGATAAATCTAATTACAACAGGGAAACCTGCCTACTTTAGCCAAAGCAAACATCACCTATCAGATGGGTACACCCTGACCTATCCCAGAGCTTGGGCAAAGGCCAAGTTTTTCAGGATAATCTGTCAGAGACAAAATGATCTGAACCTCTGAAGATAAACTATTGCAGAAAACAGATGCCTTGACAGAAAAGGTACGCTTCTTAGGTCCAATCAGATGAATTTGGGTGACAGAGAGGACCCAAAGTGTGCCTGCTATGTCAGCTCTTACACAATGGACACAAATGATGGAAGAGAGGCAGTCCTCATATATAAGATGACCAATCGTCCTCCTTTAGGGAGGACAGTCCTTCTTTTGTAAGTTCTGTCTTCTCTCGAAAAGTGTCCTCCTACATGTCCTCCTTTTTGAAATTTGAAGACTAATATGTAAATCTCCGTATTTGATCGATGCCGATCCAATCTGTTACATATGATGTGATGTATTTGTATTTGACATGACGATTTGTCAAGGCTCGGTACAGTGCAGCGAGACGCGATTATGAGACACATGTGCTCCGCACAGGAGAATTATTTTGAGAGAGTGTGCCATGCGCAAGAGTGTGCCACGCGCAAATGGCTTTGTTTACTTCTTACCGAAACAGGACATGGCACACACACATGTATTAGACTCCAAATTTATTTGTGTCCTCCTTCTCATTGTAAAAAAGTTGGTCACCTTATTATATAGCCAACCCTTTCGCTATGATGCACTTCATATATGAGAACCTTGAACTATATCCAGAAATGCAGTGGTGATCGATGCAGTGTTCAATGTGCAAATTGAAGTGTGCCTATAACTGCTTATGATGTTGCCTTCAGGATCAGTTGTAGCTTTCAAGTAATCTTCAAAGAAAACCCCATGTACAATCCTATAATTCACACCGAGAGTAATTCAAGGCATGAGTTACTATGATAGGTGATTGTCGGTCCATGAATGGGTACTGTTGTGAGCGAGGCGTACTGAGTTATTAAAACACACGAGTAATCCCCAAAACCTCTTTTATTGCAACAGCTGTGAATCACTTTCATTCACAGCTGAGTCCCAATTAGTTGCAAAAAGTTCTTCGGGATAAATCCTTCGGGATAGTCACCAACTTTATCTCCCTTGACACGCTGCCAAAGATCTACTTGGCAAAGTCACACGGAGTCCAGAATCATAGATGCCGACTGGGAACAGAATTAATAATGTTGCTTTCCTGCAAAGGTCCCACGTGCCTTTGCCTCTCTTTTAAGCCTCATGGGAGGGGCCAATCATCTCCAGGCCTTACTCCCGAGTTGTCCCTTTTATATTAACTGTTCATGCCTTCTGGCAGCTCTGCACATGTGCGCACTAGGATCAGGCTCCTCCTGTTCCTCTGCCTCTCTGCTGTCCAACCCTGGAGGCTCCAGAATCTGCACATCACTCCCAGACAGCCCTGGCCTCATCACTGTCTCTGATTCAGAGCCCTCATCCAGGCCTTCTCCAGACTCCAGGACTGGCCCATATTCCTCCCCAGCCTCCTCACTGTCCGACTCCACTGCCAGCTCTGCAGGCTGCTGGCGGACCACAACAGGTACAACTGGTGCACCAGATGAAACTGGAAAGCCTTCCTAGTGATAGATACCATTTGCTCTTGGAGCAGGAGCTGTGACATCCAGAAATGGCATACCAATTCTAAACAGGGGCATGCAATTCCACTCAAAACCAAAGATGGAATAAAGATTGAACTCCACAAAAACTATACTCCCATAGGCAAGACTTGTCAAGACTGAGTTTCAACTTGTTCTCCCTACTACCACCATCACCAATACAGATGCAACAGCCTCCAAGCACTGGGGCATGGCCCCCACATTATCACCTGATCACCATGAATTTAAATATGCAGCTGATGATACTTGACCTCACATAAATGGACATCTTCATTGAGAAGTTTCATGTAGCTGTTTAATGGGAAAAGCAAAATTGTTGAGTTGTGAGGCACCCGGCTGCACTGTACCTCTTGTCACCTATCAACACTGACTGGAACCAGCCAGGGGCAAAGAAGGAGAACCACTACATGCCTTGTCTTCCACCTTGCAAACACTCCAGGACTATACCAAGCTCAGTGCTATTAAAAGCTGCTGAGAGATCAAGAATCAGCATCACTGTATCACCCCTGCCTAGTTTTCCAAAGGTCATCAAAAAGTGTAATCAAATCCATTTCCATATATGCCCTTTTCTGAAACTCAGTTGAAACTGGTCCGGGTAATCCATTTCCTCCTGGGTCCTCTGGGGCTACAGCCCAATCAACAGGCCAAAAAGTAGCCAGGGACTGATCTGACCAGGATAAAGAGTGATGAAAATCTCTTCCACCTTAAGATCATGATGCAACTGTCCTGAGATAAAAACTAAATTAAGCATTTGTCCACCTCTGTGTGTTAGGTCCTTGATAACTTGGGTCAGATTTATGGATCAGTGGCCAGGAGTTTGCATCGCATGAAGCAAGTTACATTTTTCCAGAACTATCAGTCTTGGAGACTTCACCACCAACTCAGCAATGGAATCAAGCAGCTCAGGCAAGAAGGGGTTGGGCAGC